GACATTAAGTTTTTAAAAATGTATGGAGGAAAAATATGAGGCGATCAAATGCTAGAGACAACTGCATACTGATCCTCAGAGTGACTTCAGTTAACTACAGCTAGAAGATCTCCCAAGTTCTTTGCTAATCAGGCCACATGATTTCAGGCCACTTGAAACCACTAAATGAGATCCAGCAAGCATTCTGCTCCCATACTCTATTCACAATAGGTCAATAATGCCTAGATACGGAAAGAGACCACCTGCCATGGCCCATCTGATTGGACAGTTCAGATAGCCCGCCTCTTCATCACTGATTGAGTCTTGCTCTACTTCCCTGCATCTGAATCATGAACAAACAGGGAAAGGAACCCCTCCCTGCAAGAGAGGATCCCAAATGATAGACTGTAGTGCAGAGGCTTCTGGAGCTGGCTGTCTTCTACAGGACTGATATGCACAGAGGAGTGCTTGTGCTGAAGAGATTTACCCCAGGCTTTTGATTTCCAAATCCATTTGATTTCAATGATAAAAGGAAAAATAAACTAAAACTAAATTTCAAAACATGTCATTCAGTGGGCAACAATGGTAAATACATTGCACACTGTTATCCCCAGATCATTCACCCAGAGCAGAAGACATTTGTATTCAATTTTCCAAACAGTACTGTAATTGGCAGCTGAGTTAGTCAAATAATGATGGCATTGAGACAGGGCTAGGTCCTTCCCATGCAGAAGCCCAGGCAGCTTGCAACTATGGGGAAGACAGACACCTCCTGCTAGGAATCAGGCCTCAGGACAAAAAATCAAGCAAATGTATTCATATCCTAAAGATTGATATTTGAAACAGTTTCCTAGCACTCTGAGGAAGTCAGGAGTTACCATTTGAATAAATGTATCCCTATCCTAAATCCTTAAATTCTAAATAATTCTTATCATCCTGATGAAGTCATGAGTCACCGTCTGAACCCCCTATTGGAAGAGTCACTACTGCATAAGAATGCCTGCTTTCTATGTGACTCCCTTCCTCATTTAATTGCAATTTAATCAACTTTACCTGAACTATTAATCTTATTCATTACCCTAGTTCTGTCCCATCTTATGTCCAATCTGCATTGTGAGTTCCCAGTTTTCCCCACCTTAAATCCATCAAACCACATGATTCTACTCTATTAAATTTCCTAGAAGAGACAGTCTTTGGCAACCCACTCAGGACCACTTGTCCCTCTCACACAGCTTGTTTCTCTCAATAAATATATTCTACTCTTAACCTCAGTGGTTCCTAAAATTTATTCTTTAATTTTAGAGAACACGAACTCATACTGCACATAGTAGATCAGGAGTTTCTTTCCCCTATATCAATACCAGTATAAATTGAATTCAGAGAAATGACTAGTAGTTTGTGTTTTATAATGTTGACTTCACCTCTTCAGGGATACTTGTACTGCAGGGCTTTATCCCCGCCTTTAAGTGCTGCTTCTGTTTTCAGAAAGTGAACTGATCTGCAGGTTTGGTTGTGGTATCTACAGTGCATTAAGGAAATGACTAAACGTATTTCTTGTGAATGGTTTACCAACAGCCATGGAGGAAAACACATAACCAAAATTCTTGATTTTCATTTCTTCATTCAAACTGAAGGATGCACCTTAGAAGAGTTTTGCCCTAGAAACTAATACAGCACCTCATGTTGGTTGTTCATCGTGGTAGAAGGCCCAATCAGGAATGCTAAACATATGGCCACTTCCTCTTTTTCCCCTGATTACAACTTCCTCATTCCTTTCCCAGTGGCCTAAAGAAAATTGCAATCAGCTCTTCACATGACAGAAATGTCTGCTCCAAGCTCCACATCCAGGCAAAAGTCACATATACCCCTAACCCCATGGTCAGAAAAAAAAAAGCCAAACTCTTTGTTTGTTTGTGTTCCTCCTCATATTTCTTTAATAGAAAGGCCATTTTACTTTTTCTTATATTCTGCTTCTCTATTGCAACAGAAAATGTTAACAGTATTGATTCTTGTCTATGTATAAAGTTAATTTACCTCCTCAGTATTTCATATGAACAACAACATGAATAGCTAAATGAAATAAATGTAGTGGACTGTTGCTCCACTCTATCAGTGTCAAGGCAGTGAGTTTAATCCTGATAAAAATAAATCTTCATATAAATTTCAATGCAGAAAAGGTATCAAAATATTAACAGGGTTCTACAAGCCTACAGACTTGTTTCAATAACATATTAGAAACCTTCTATAAAAAGGCAAAAATACACAGTTTATATATCTTAAAATTGTTGAAGAATCCAATAATGTAGAAATTGTTCTGGACAATTTTAGTTGAACCTTCACTTTTATATGAGATAACCTACTGCCATGGAAATGTCTACTTCCTCCTAAATTATACACTCAAATCAATTATTTTCATTTATAATGACTGAGGTATACAACTTCTTACATTGCCAGGAATACAACCACAGTGAGTTGTATTGATCACTTTAAAATGCAAGAAAAGTGAAAAGCATTCAGACACATCATAAAGATATTGATGTTCATTTGGCTCATGTTAATGATAAAGGGAAATGAAATCCCTGAGCTACTATATGTCTGGTAAGAGTTGTGTTCTCTAAAATAGAAGAATGAAGTTTAGGAATGATGGAGTTTCAGAATGGTATATATTTATTGGGAGAAAGAAAGCTTCTGTCTGAGAGACTGTCTTTTTGAGTAACATTATACAGTAAAATCAAGAAGTTAGATGAGTGAAAGGAGGTGAAAAATGGGACTTTGCAAGGTGAGCAGAAGACGAGATAGAACCATGTTCAACCAATAAGGTCAATTACTCAGGTAAAATTGATTAAATTAGGAACAAACACGGAAGCAAGTCACATAGTAAGTGGGCTTGCTTAACAGCAGGAACTCTTCCTGTAGGGGTTTGGGATGGTGACTCTTGACTTCTTCAGCATGATAAAGAACTATTTGGACTGCTGATCTTTAGGGCTTGGCTGCATTTCCTTTGCCTTTTGTCTTGAGATTTGGCCCAGAGCAGGAGGTGATTGTCTCTTCAAGGCTGCAATCAATCTGAATTTATCCTCTTGCTCCTTTGAGGGCCCAGCCCTGTTGTTACAGTCAGCTAAATTAGTTAGAAATATACAGGCAGTGAGACAGGACTAGATCCTAGAAGTGGACAATACAGAAGCCCAGATACCTTGCAACCATGGGGGAGACTGATTCCTCATGTTATGGGCCAGGCCACAAGACAAAACACCACGCAAATGCATCCATATCCTAAGGTCTGAGCCAGTGCTGGCAGACAGGCTTGCATTGGCTGTGACATGTCTGCTGCCCCAGTCTCAGCCCCACTGCTAGTCTCATTGTTCTGTTGCCCCCTGCATCATATAACCTGTTTTTCCTAGAAAATATCTGGTGTATCCTCACACAGGGAATCCAAAGGGAAATGATAATTATCCCTTAACTGTAGCTGTTGAACATCCAGAAGATTAATATCATACACTGCAGGACAAGCAGTAAACTTAATGTAGAACATTAAATGGAACTGCTATTTTCTATTAACCATGGGTGTTTTAACATTTGATCACTGAAGAAATTTGTGACATAGTTTGCACTGCTCACTATTACATTACATACTTTTTCTTAAAAATTATTATTTGACTGGTGACCTCGTATTGGCCTCATCTAAATCACCAGGTTGGAATGCAAGAAAAAGGCATAGGACATCTAAATCTGAAACAAAACTCTTGTCATTATAAACAATCCCAATTTGATATTTGAAGGCATGAATATATCATCAGATCAGCAACAATGAATTGTCTTACTAATATGAACTTTAGTTAAGCTGTCTCCCATGAGGCTATAGAGTTTATTGGGACCTCCAATCAGTGAACCTGAACTGGTTAAAGTTACCTGGTTTTCCATATATAAATACTATGTAATCTCCCTACTGTAAGAAATGGTAAGAGTACATAAGAGTTTGTGGTAATCCTGCTTCCCCATTACATTGCTTTGGAGACTTATAATATTTGCATTCATTTCTTGGAATGGTTTCATCCTGGTTTGTTTGATTTTATTATCTATGATTGTTTAAACAGCTATTTTGAAGAAAACAAGACATTATAATAGCCAGTGTGGATTTAATATCATCTTGTTTTGAAGTGCTGACATGCTTTTAGTCTTCTGTTTCCATTGGTTCTATCATGTGGTATCTTCTTGGATTGTATTATGTGTGATAGTATAAACAAATATTTTATGAACAATGAGATAATATAGTAACCATTGTTCATTTTGTGTTATTTGGTTCTAAATGATCTGTAATATTTTCATGCTCTTTAAAGGTTTTATAATATTTTGTTAAGTTTGACACTATTGTGTATGAAGATATACTCAACTATTTCAAGGAAAGAGACATTATGGTAGCTACTGATATGTCAGGTTGTCTTGTGTTGAAATACTGTGTTGCTTAAATTGTTGTGCTCTAATTCATTTGCTATGTCCTCATTTATCTTTGTAAGATCACCATTGTGAAGAAGGCCCCAAGGATCCAGCTCTCATGAAAAATCAAGGGTTTTTTCATTGTCCACGCATGCGAGGGACCCTCTGACCACACTCCGCTTGGAGAGGAGAGCGAGAGAGTGCCAAGTAGGGAAGTGCAGGGTTTATAAAGCCGAAAGCTGCAAAGCAAGCATCAGTTACAGAAGCAGATGGCATTGGTTAATAGGGGTCGTGTGGTTTGCTTACTGGTGGGTGAGCTATCTGCTGCAGGTGGCTTGATGTTTTTGAAAACTCATATCCTGTCTGACAGGGTCGATAGTTCATGGTGCTCTAATTCTTGGGGACGTTGGATCACAACTTCTCTATCAGGTCAGAACATCTGGTTGTTCTGACCGAGTGACAAGGAAAGAGGGGTTTCCTGAATGTTTTAACTCTTCATGCCCCCCCCTTTTTTGTGAGGATCTCTAATCCTAGAGATTATTAGTAGGTACTAGGTCATATTGGTATCTCAAGACCATCATCTTTACCTGGGAGACTTGTGATCGCACCAGATGTGCGATCTTGTTTAGAACACAAGGGCCAATGGTAAGGAGTAGGAGCAAAGCAGCTAAAGGGCCTAGGAGGGGGACAACATAAGGAGCTAGCCCTTGCCATAGGGAAGGGAAGGATGTCTCTGAAGAGTATTCTTTTTCTCTAGTTTTGATATTTTCTCTGAGTTTGGACATGGCATCTTTTACTATGCCTGAATGGTCAACATAAAAACAGCACTCTTCTTTTAGAGTGGCACATAGGCCACCCACCTTTAGGAAGGATAGGTCTAGTCCCCTCCTGTTTTGTAGGACTACCTCAGATAAGGAGGTTAAAGAGGTTTGCAAACCTCTATTCGTTTTAAGTCTTCATTTATTGTGGCCCGCAATTGATGGAAGTGTTGTTGCCCCTTAATCAATGCAGCAGTTTATGTTCCTATCCCTGCTGTAATCCCCATCCCCAAGAGTACAGCTAGGGTCACAGTCACTGGGTCTTGTTTAGTTCTGTGGCCAGGCAGTGGGTCCAGAAGGGGCCCAGGTCTATATGAGATATGGGGAAATATCTTTACAATCACACAAAGATCATGATTGGTGTCAAAGGCATCAGCAGCTACGCAGGGTGTGAATCCTGACTTGCATGTCCAGTATGTCTCCAGGGCTGGGATAAGATATTGGTTTGGACTAAAGGAAGAATGTGAAGTCTTACAAACTCTCTGAATTTTAGTTGGCCAGTTTGAGGGTTTTCCAAGACATGTCCCACTTCCTGAAACCTCTAAAATGTTAATAGAGTAGTTTTTTCCCCAGGAACATTTGCTTTGGTCTGTTGTTCCTATAAAGGCCTCATTAACTGCAATTCCCTCATAGTATGGGGGCATGGAACTTAAGCATAGCCAACATGATCGTGTGAGGTTAGGCTGGGTATGATTTAAGGCAATATATGCTCCTTGGATCAGCTTGAGTAAGTTATCACCTAGAGAGGGGCGATGGGGTTTCATAGTAACGGGGAGAGGGGAAGGGCTCTGAGGGGTAAGGGGTGATTTTGGCCTTTGTTTTTGGGTTTTAGGTTTAACAGTGGTGCTATCTTTGAGTGCAGTTTCTACCTTGGGGAGTATCCTGTCTCCCTGAGGGGAAGGCCTAGGTGTAGATAGGAGGATGGGTTCACCCAGGTCAGTTTCTGATGGTAGGGACCAGACGGAACCTTTAGATATGAAGAGGACACTACCTGGGTCAGTACCTGATAAATAGGCTCGAATGCCCAAAGCCTGCATCTTGCCCCAATGGGGGTCATTGGAGGCTAAAACTGTTATAATTAGAGTATCAAGCTTTCCTCTTTTCCAAGCCCTCTGAATGGACCAGTGACAGTCTATCGAGGGGGGCATCCATCCAGAGGCCAGGGTTACAGAATCCCAGTAGGGGCACCAGAACTCAGATGGGGACCTACAATAGGTAGGTGTTCCCTCAAGAGGGCAGAGATATACATGGAAATCACCCTTGCAGCTAGTGTCAGGAATTGTCCAGCACAGACTTATTTCAAAAGTGGGCTTTCCTGTTTCCCTCCATTGAGCTAATAGCTTGGTCCCGCAGTAATTTTTGTCATGGCCTCGGTAGACCCTCCATTTCAGCGACACATGTGGGTTGCCATTGCATGGGGGCATAGCAGGGTCAGAGCAATGGCAATGGAGCTGAGCAGGGCAAGTGTGTGGGGCATCATGAGAGGTTCTATTCAAGGAGCCTAATTTTCACTGGCACCGCCAGGCAATTTAGGTAAGAGAACAGGGTTACTATGCCAAAGAATAGGGAGACAAGACTAATTTTTGCAATTCGGCCTAGGTCTGAGGGAAATGTGACCCACAATCCTATGGCCAGCACAAGGGTAACAGAGACAATGATGACGACAAAGCCATCTGGGTAACAGAGTAACATGAGGGTATCTTGGCTCCTTAGATGGGTGTTGTCCTTCGAAATTGAATTTTGAGGGGGTTACCAGTTTGTTCTAAGGTCCAGTTGTTATCCTGAGTCGGGGAGGCAGGCTTCAGGTGCAATGCATGTATCCAGGGAGTGATGCCGTCGACCTTAACTGTGGTGAGGGTAGTCAGCAGCACTTGATAAGGTCCTTTCCAGTGAGGCTGCAGGGTTTCAACTTGGTTGGCAGTGAACCAGCACGAAGTCACCCACTTGATATGGGTGAGGGGTTGGCGAGTCACTGGGGGCGTAGGCCGTGGACAGTTGTTTCCAAAGGATCTTTTGTATTCGCTCGAGAGCAATGAGCCTGTCAGACAGAAAAGTTGGTAATACAGCAGAGCTATCATCTGAAGGGGAGAGGCCTTGTATGGGAGGAGGGGTGCTGAAAAGAATTTCAAAAGGAGTTAGGTTAGGGGGTTTGGCCGACGGAGTGTTTCGAGCACGGAAAAGGGCATAAGGCAGGGGCATTGTCCAATCTTGTAAGCCAGTCTCATGGACTAATTTAGTTAGGGTCTCTTTGATGGTTCTATTCATTCTTTCTACCTGTCCTGAACTTTGGGGTCTATAAGCACAATGTAATTTCCAATCAATCCCCAATATGTTGGCCAACCCCTCACTCACCTTAGCCACAAACACCGGCCCGCTATCACACCCGATTACCTTTGGCATTCCGAAGCAGGGGAAGATTTCTTCCATCAATTTTTTTGTGACAGTGGCAGCAATCTCCTTCTTGGTAGGGTATGCCTCAGTCCAAGCAGAGAAAGTATCAACAAACACCATCAGATATCTATATCCATATCTGGCAGGTTTAATTTCAGTGAAATCTGCTTCCCAATATTGTCTGGGCCTTGTGCCTCTTAGTCTCTTCCCTGGGGCTAGCTTGGTAGGATGTGCATTAGCCAGCTGGCATGCCTTACAGTTGGCCACAGTTTGAGTGGCAGCTGCACGGATAGAAGAGGGAGTCTCTGGAAAATTCTGGTGTTGAGCAAGTTGGCATAACTTTTTAATCCCTAGATGGGTGAGCTGATGTGCTCGTTGAAGGTAGATGGTCAAATCAGAGACTTCAGGCCCTTTAGGGAGCTGGGGTCCTTTGTCTATTTGAGCCTCCTCTTTAGGGGGGACTTCAGTACCAAGTGCTAGCATCTGGGGGCTGTGTATGGCTGCAGACCTTGCTGCCACATCTGCCAAATTGTTTCCCTTGGTGACAAGGTCAGTCCCTTTTTGATGGCTGTTACAGTGTATTATAGCCACTATTTGTGGTAGCATGACTGCAGCCAGCCATTGGAGAATCTCCTGTTTGTGTTTTATTGCTTTTTCTGCAGAGGTTAAGAGTCCCCTCTGTCTGTATATGGCCCCATGGATGTGGGCAGTGGCAAAAGCATATCGGCTATCACTGTAGATGTTTGATTGTTTTCCTTTGGCGAGCTCCAGGGCCTTGGTGAGGGCAATTAATTCAGCTCTTTGAGCTGAGGAGCCCTCCTTTAGTCTGGTTGCCCATATCACATTGGAGTGGTTGGTCACCATGGCCTCCGAATACCGCTTACCTTGCAACAGGAAGCTGCTCCCATCAGTGAAATAGGTTACCTCTGCATAGGGCAATGGCTAATCTGTTAAGTCGGGCCGTATTCCTGTTTCCTCTGCCAGGATGTCCTGGCAGGTGTGTAGAACCAGCTCTGAAGTCTCTCCTGGCAGCAGGGTTGCTGGGTTAAGGACCATCAGGGGTACGAAGGTTATCCGGTCTTTGTTGAGCAGGAGGCTTTGGTAGTGGGCGATTCGGCTGTTGGAAAGCCACCTGTCAGGTGGCTAGCGGATGACCCTCTCCAACGTGTGAGGGGCAATGATGGTCAGTTTTTGACCTAGAGTCAGTTTGTCTGCATCTCTAGTGAGCAAGGCTGCTGCTGCAATGGCTTTAAGGCATGGGGGGCATCCATTTGCCACTGGATCTAGCCTCTTTGAGAGGTAGGCCACAGGCCTTTTCCATGGTCCACAGGTGTGGGTTAATACCCCTCTGGCTACTCCAGTTTTCTCTTCAATGAAGAGAATGAATGGCTTGCCTATATTGGGAAACACTAAGGCTGGGGCTGACAGGAGTGCTCGCTTAATGGCATCGAAAGCTTGTTGGTGGTTTTCCTCCCAGACAAAAGATGAGCCCCCTTTGAGTAGTGGGTACAAGGGACTACTAGGGATGCAAATCCTGGGATCCACAGCCAGCAAAACCCCACAGTTCCCAAAAATTCTCATAATTGTCTCTGGATTTTTGGTGGGGGAATCAGGGTTACTGTTTTTGTGCCTCAGTGAGCCATCTCTTACCCCCCTTTAGAATATAGCTTAGAAAAACCACCTCCCTTCTGCAGATTTGGGCCTTTTTGGCTGATACTCTATATCCCAATATGGCCAACTCACATAAGAGAGCTTGAGTCCCCTTAACACACTTAGATTCCCTGTCAGCTGCTAGCAGCAGGTCATCTACGTATTGAAGAAGAGTGAGGTCTGCATGCTGAGCCCGGAAAGCCGCCAAATCCTTGTGGAGGGCCTCATCAAAGATGGTAGGGCTGTTTTTGAATCCCTGAGGGAGGCATGTCCATGTCACTTGCCCAGTAGCCCTGTGTCTGGGTCAGCCCATTAGAACGCAAACAGGGGCTGCCTATCCTTGTGTAGGGGCAAACAGAAGAAAGCATCTTTTAAATCAAGGACAGTGTACTAGGTTTTGGGTGGACTTGGGCCACTAAGCAAGTTATAAGGATTTGACACTGTGGGGTGGATGCCTTCCACCCTACTGTTAACTTCTCTCAGATCTTGTACTGGCCGATAATCTTTGGTTCCCCATTTCTTAACCGGGAGCAACGGGCTGTTCCATGTGGATTGGCAGGGGGTCAATACTTTTAGATCTAACAGTCTCTGTATATGTTTTTTTATCCCTTGATGGGCCTCCTTACTGATGGGGTATTCTTTGACTCGGACAGGCGTGGCAGTGGCTTTTAAAGTGACCATTACACGGGGTTGTTGGTTTGCTAGCCCGAGTCCAGCCATTTCAGCCCAAGAATCTCTAAAATCAGTTAGCCAGGCTGGAGGAATGGATTGAAGCTTCGATTCCTCATAGAGCCGGTATTCATCTTCTAATTTTAAGGAAAAGATTGTGACCATAGGCTGTCCAACCCTCTGATCACGGAAGGCCACCTGTGGCCCTTGAGGCTCAAAGCAGATTGTTGCCCCCAATTTGGTCAGCAAATCTCTCCCTAATAGGGGAGCGGGGCATTCAGGAATCACCAGAAAGGAGTGCTTTATGTTTCCCTTTCCTAGGTCAACGGTACGCTCAGTAGTCCATGGGCAGTATTGACTCCCATTTGCCCCTTGGACTAGTGACTTTTTGGATGTGAGTGACCCTAAAGGAACCCGTAGGGACAAGTAAACAGCTCCTGTATCTACCTCAAAGTCAACAGGAGTCCCCTCCACATTAAAAGTTACCCTGAGCTTGGGGAGGGGGTTCGAGCTCTGTCTCCCCTAGTGATTGTCTCCCAGGGCAAGTATGGGAGCCCGCTGGAAGGTCTGTTTTTCTTTTTCCTCTTTTTCCTTTTTCCTTTTGAGTTTGAGGCAATCCTTAATCAGGTGCCCCTTTTCCTTATAGTAGGCACATTGGTCCGGGTCTAATGGGGGCCAGCGAGGCTTGCCCTTTCCTGAGTCTACTGGCTTACCTATCGCTGTGGCCAACATCTTTACTAACTCTTGTTTCGTTTCCTATCTCTAGCCTGTTCCTTTTCTTCCTCAGTTTCTCGTTTATAGTAAACTTTCTTAGCCTCCTTAACCAAATCTCTTAGGGTTAAATCCTGAAGCCCATCTAGCCTCTGAAGCTTGCACCTGATATCAGGGTTAGAACATCTCATTGTTCTGACCGAGTGACAAGGAAAGAGGGGTTTCCTGAACATTTTAACTCTTTAGGCTCTGATTGATAACATTTTTATCTGGTAACATTTTTATCCAGTTCTTATTCATTGATCAGAAACCTCAATGATCTCCATAGCTTTATAGGAGACACCATAACTAAAGTTATGAAATGTATCCCTAAATGTTCACATTGATCATTATCAAAAGAAGTAAAACAATTTTTATTTGGAAGATGCCTGTGTAAATTTTTCACATGCTTATGACACTTGATTGTTATTGAATTCAAGATGTATTAGATATATTCATATTTCTAGATGCATAGGCCTCCAGGATTGTAAAATGGGGGTTACTTCTGGTAGCAGACGTTTGTTTTATTTTCCCACCTCTGCTGATACCAAAGACTTGTGAGATTCACATTCCACTA